AATTACTAATTTTATCACTAATTTTTTATGGTTCCAACAAAAAAATAATAGTTTGTAAAGTTTCAACTGTAGTGTTTTATGCAAGAAATATAACTCCAAGACTACAATACCAGCTTGACTTTATAACATTTAAATCAACGTTAAAATCATGGTGGAAGCTATTATTAACATATAATTTTGAGTTTATAAAAAGCTATAAATCTAGTTTCCCATCCATGTGGGACGGATTTTTGCATACAAAAAACCTGACCAATCCGAAATAAGTCAACCCAAAGTTACTTGATGTCTAATCGAGTTGTAAAATTTTCACATCATAGAAATTGGATTAGGCCAATTTGAACCCAACTCAACCTGATAAACTCAATGCCTTTGTTATATGTTTACACATCTTTTGCTAGATATATTATTAGTGTTGCCTTTGATCTCTATGGTCATGGTAGACAGCTAATTATCTGTAACATCTCAAATATTTCGAATACTTTTTTTTATTAACCTGGATATCCAACCTGTTATGCGAGCCGACTAATCCCAGGGAGACCACCTGCTTTGCAGATAGCCCGGAGTCACCGCATTTGAACTTCCGTGGCCACAAGGGGATTTTTACTCCTCCTTGGATTTGAACCTGAAACCTCCTAGTACTTTTGGAGTCAAGCTCAAACCAATCAGGTACCACCCTTGTGGTTAATATTTCGAATACTTCAATATAAAAAAACTAGTATCCCAAGATCAAACACTTACATTGCAGCGGAAATAAAATTTCTAATCTTACAATTTATATCACCATCTAAAATTACAATTTTGAGGAACATAACTTTGTTCTCTATAACAACGCCTTGATCTGCACATATCCTTCTTTGGTGCTAATTCTTATACATCTCTTTATCCAAATTTTCTTTCCAGTCTAATAGCCGCCTATGTGAAAAGTTAAAAAGAGTTTTGGGTGAGCCTCATGCCCAGTGAATCAACGGTTTTCATGCACGAACAACAATTTTTACAATAAATAATTTTCACGAAGCTTCATAAATTAGCATGCCTTGATGAGAATAACACTTTTCACAAAATAAAGATATTATAGTGCATGTCTACATCATAAAGCAATTACTTCATGGAAGATGTCTACCTCACACAACATTACATGACAAACTCATACAGCATGTCCGCACTTACGGCTTAGACAAGCTCACAAAGCATGCTCGTCTTTACAAAATCATATTGTAGTACATCCCCGTTGACACACAAATATTCAAAACACATATTATAAAAATTTCAAACTTTTCACGCATATATAACATATCAAAAATCTCAAGAAACTTCAATCAAGCTTGTGGATAATTATAAATAAGGCATGCAACCATTTAAAAAATAAATCACGTGTAACTCACTATACATGTTGTAGCCCAAACCAATCTATGAAGTGGCTAGCATGTTCTTGATTGGTGTCAAACTAGCTACGATGTAAAGGACCATCAACTCTCATTGTAGTGTCCACCGTCGCCTTTTCTCACAATAGTTTTCCTTTTTGACCCCCAAACTTCACATAAAGCTACAGACTCCCATTTTATACTAAGTCATCGACGGTTTCACGAAATATGAAACGATAAGCCATGATTAATGGCCGAAGGTTTCATGTCTCTTAGAATTCCATGGTTATTAAATTACAATTTTAAGGTCTAACCCTTCACTTCCTTTACCTTTACACAACAAGTCCTTGTAGTTTGAGAATGTTTTTTTGTTGTTGTTACAAACTTCTTCCCTTAACAAAATTTCGTCCTCGAAATTTGTCCTATACAAATAAATGAGGGTACTTCAATCCTATCTCTTTATCGAGTTCTCAAGTTGCTTCTGACCCGTTATGACGTCTTTATTGAATTTTCACGAGAGATATCCTTTTGCTTTTTAGCTTTTTGATTTTCTTTTCTTCATGTCCTTAAGAGTTACGACTTCCTTTTTACCTACTAAACACTTTCTTAATTTAGATATATTATGTCATAAATTTCACATTTGAGTGATGTGCTTAAACATCACAGTACTATGTTTATTATTGACTTTGACTAAGTCACTAGTCGAATACCAACCTTTGAGTTATTTCAGCATTTCACGGGATTCATATTCGAATTCATCCTTCTGCATACCATAGAATTAACTTAACCCATTTTTCATTTATATAATCATTGTGCTCATCCTAGAGTTTAGTCACAACTCTCTCTCCTTTGACGACAAATACGTGACTTCGGTACTTGTTTTACCAACTAATCAATTAACTCCCCTTTCATAACACACATGCCACCATTTGGTTCTAATGACCCAATTCATACCCTTATATATAGTCATTTTAAAACAAGGCATTTTGTAATAACCTTTTATATGCTCGTTGATATTTAGGATATTATGTTTTATCCATAACATTGGTTGTTCTAAGTGCACATCTTTACTTATTTCATCATCTTCAACTTATATTGGAACTTACTTATCTTTGACTTAATGCAAAATATCTCATGCATGTTTACACCATTCAAGCTGTGATGTCTTTCTAGCTATAACTATGGGAACAATTCCAACGCCCTTTTTTTTATGGCTTAGAGGTTATACGCTTGGATAAACCTTATTATTTAACCATAAAATATTTCTTACTTACTAAACCTGATACATGATTACAATCATTAACATTTTTTTTCACCAACCTTCTCGCTTTTATATCTTGCTCAAAGCAACACATGCTTACTAAGAGTAGTTACTTTCATCAAATCAAATAAGTTAAATCATCCCCCTAACCATTCTTAAAAGGTACATGAAGGATAATGAAATTGTAGTTTCCAACAAGACTAATTAACCATAGTCTCATACATTCCAAAAGCATCTCACACGCCAATATGGTGCCTTTTCTTTAAAGAAACTAATTCCGTGAGAACCCTTAAATCTTCTCATATGGCTTACAAATTATTTCGACATTCCAACTCTTGATTGTAAAATCCTTCAACTAGTCATGCACCTAATCAAGATCAGCAGTTCTTATCATGGATCTGATGCCATAATTGATTACATGAATGACCTCATTGTTAATCTCATATTTGTAACATCCCAAATATTTCGAATACTTCAATATAACAAAACTAGTATCCCAAGATCAAACACTTACATTGCAGCGGAAATAAAATTTCTAATCTTATAATTTATATCACCATCTAAAATTATAATCTTGAGGAACATAACTTTGTTCTCTATAACAACGCCTTGATCTGCACACATCCTTATTTGGTGGTAATCCTTATATATCTCTTTATCCAAATTTTCTTTCCAGTCTAATAGATGTCTGAGTGAAAAAGTTAAAAGAGTTTTGGGTGAGCCTTAGGCCCAGTGAATCAACGGTTTTCATGCACGAACAACTTTTACAATGAACAATTTTCACGAAGCTTCATAAATTTAGCATGCCTTGATGAGAATAATATTTTTCACAAAATAAAGATATTATAGTGCGTGTCTACATCAAAGAGCAACGACGTCATGGGAGATGTCTACCTCACACAGCATTACTTGACGAACTCACACAACATGTCCGCACTTACGGCTTAGACGAGCATGCTTTAAGCTCACAAAACATGTTCGTCTTTACAAAATCATATTGTAGTACATCCCTATTGACAAAAAAATATTCAAAACACATATTATAAAAATTTCGAACTTTTCACACATATATAACATATCAAAAATCTCGAGAAACTCCAATCAAGCTTGTGGATAATTATACATAAGGCATGCAACCATTTTAAAAATAAATCATGTGTAACTCACTATACATGTTGTAGCCCAAACCGATCTTTGATGTGGCTAGCGTCTCCCCGATTGGTGTCAAACTAGCTACGATGTAGAGCACTGTCTACTCTCATTGTAGCGTCTTCTTTTTGACCCCCAAACTTCACATAAAGCTACAAACGCCCATTTTATACTAAGTCATCGGCGGTTTCACGAAATATGAAACGATAAGCCATGTTAACGGCCGGAGGTTTCATGTCTCTTAAAGTTCCATAGTTATTGAGTTACAATTTTAAGGTCTAACCCTTTACTTCCTTTACCTTTACACAACAAGTCCTTGTAGTTAATTTTGTTGTTGTTACATATCACTATTTTACCCATAATTTTACTATTTGCAGCAATCTTCCTTTCGGTGGTAGTTTGACTTTTTTTGGTTCCCTATGCATCATAAAATGGCAATTAATAGGTGGTAATGACTAATGATTGTATAAGTATGTTGATGGAGTGTTGATATTATCTCACAAGTCACATCCAACCAACCCAACTCATACGGAATGGGTTGATTTATGCTTTAAATATTAGATATACGGGTTAAGATTTTTCAATTTTTACTAGCTAGCTTAGGTTATTCAAACGCATACATACCAACCAACTCAACTCATGCACAACCCTAAAAAAGGTTTTAGTAAAATAAAGCTTGTGTTTTAACTAGATGTGTACGTTTACCGATTATGTCTAGTCTTGGGTTTGGTTTTTGGGGCCCCAACCCGAAGGGTCCTTCGTTTAAAAAATAAAACTTTTTTAATAAATAAATAAATCATCGAAGTTTTATTAGTCAGTTAACATAATTTTTTTTAAGTTAAAAGAATGTAGGTAACCAATTCCTAAAAGTAAGATGGTTTTATATATTAAAAAAATGTTCAAAGACTTAATTAATCAAAATAAGAAAATTTAATGATTTTTTCATTCAAAAAAATAATTCATGGACTTAATCATTCAGAGTGAGATATTTTCCCCTTATAATTACTATATTTTTCCTAGAATTGGTCAATTAATATTTATAATATAATATACATAAACACTATTAAAATTTTAACATTTTTATAATATAAATATAATAAATCTCGCAATCAAGGAATCAAATAGTAAAAAAAACGATGTGTCCATTAGAGTTACGTGATGTAAGAATTGGTGACCCCGTTGAAGATGGTCTTATAACTTGAGGGTCGAGATTAATCCCGAAGATATAATACAAAAAGCATATTGATTTTATATAATATGTCGATATTAAAGCCTTAGAGATGAATATATACATTAGCAGTGTGTTGATCATAATATATTGTGATCTTTTCTTGAAAGATGACTGAATTTGTATAGAAGTCTTAACAAAACAAGATTCTCTAGTTAATCTAATTGATGATATCTGGACTAAATCTCAGAACCCTGAATCATTCTGCAATGGCTACAGATAACAGGTCTATTGAAGTGTGTATGTGTATGTGTATGCAAGTCGGTAACGGATGCTTACACGATCTTTTGTTGTTTCTGACTGTATCGAAAGATGGTTAAAGTGCTTCTCCAGATTCCCGGCATTTTCTTAGCGCTGACCGAATTTCCTTCAGCAATTCACTAATGTTGATGCATTTCCTGCAAGAATTCACACAACATAGTTTTCCAATCAGACAAAGAAAGAGGAATATGAGTTGTGAATGCAGATTGGGCCAAGGTTTTTTTCGAAAGCCCAAAAAGCCTGATCAGGCCCATTTTCACATGAAGACCGACCCGGCCCAAAAAACCCCAGACCTTTTTTTTGCTTACTAAAAACAGACTTGGAAGGCCCGTGACCCTCGTGCATCTCTAACATGATTATGCAAAAGATAAAGGAAGTGTCACGGATCGACTTACAGAACACTGACACCTACAACAGCAACTGGCCGTGGATATTCCTCGATTTCTTTTATCTTTTTATCCTCATCGGATACAGATTGGACTGGGTCTTCTAAACTCAACTTCAGCTGACCAGGTAAATCATCACTTCCAATTTTCTGTATTTCCTCAACCAAAAAGGGAAGCCTGTCCATTGCCTGCAATCGATAATTCGTTGTTATGATTAAACAGTCAAATAGTAAACAAGATACTAATCGTGCACAGAAGGGAAACAAGAGTGCCTAGAGAATCTACAGTAAAATGAACAGATTAAGGAACCACGTCATGGGAAGAGATCTAAAGGAAATAGAACAATACAATTAATATTAATACCACATACCTCAGGTATATCAATCTTATTCAAAACCACCAGATAGGGCCTTTCAAGATATTCAGGATTGTACATCCTTAACTCCTGCAAAATTAACATCCACATGAATAAAAATGTAAAAGATTACCCCTGAAGGAACTTAGAAAGAGTAGAAAAAGAAGAACTTGCCAACTCATTGTGGTGGGAATTTTATTGAATTTAAATCCATGAAGATATATCTACTTATGGAACTAAAATACACAGACATAAAAGATCTAAGATAAAGTAGCATTCTGCTATATGTACACTCACTTTCTGAGTCTTTATTTCTAAAACTTTTCTTAATATTTGAGGAGGGATGTATAAGAGGAGGTGGGGCGGAGTGAGGGCAAAGTCATACTTCTTTTACAGTTCTGTAGTCATACACAGGATCCTCAGTAGATGCATCAACAACATGGACCAACATTCGAGTTCTCCTCAAGTGCCTCAAGAAATTGCGGCCGAGTCCCTGACAAATGATAAAATGATCTAACATCAGCTAATAGCTAAAAAAAACAGTAAAACAAGATACAAATCATGATGATGGAGTACCTTTCCCAAATGTGCCCCCTCAATAAGACCAGGCAGATCTGCTAATGTTGCTTCAGAGGAGAATTTCCCTGCCCCTAAACTAGGATCACCCTCAAGTCGTCCAAGGTTTGGCATTAAAGTTGTGAATGGATAATCAGCAATATCAGGTTTCGCAAGCGTAATGGCTGACAGTAGGGTAGATTTTCCAGCGTTAGGGAGTCCCTGGAGAAAACCATGTAAACTAAAATGTTTAAACATTGTTATTTTCACCATGTGCATCTCATGCTGAAACTTGGCATCCTCAAAAACCATCAGATACCCAGGGTAAATTAGAGTGGAATTCAGATCTTATCATTTTTAAGATGATTGATAAGACATCTGATAACCTTGCTCTACATTAGAATCATTTTAGAATAACAATTAAACTACACTAAGGTTTTCCCTCGTTCTTCCAGGAGTGACAATCTAAAAAACAGGGACTAATTTTTCTTCCTCAGCATCACAAGTGTTCTCTTACTTTGACAAGAAACTGAAAAGAAAATATAACACAACATAAAAAAAATCTAGTAAGCTGTTACTCTGGACAGCTCTGCTTTATGCTTTCTACTTCTATATTATTGTAATAGCTTATGTCATGGTAGCAAACAACTATAGATGAGAATGAAATACAAATATTTACATACAAGTCACTTGACGAGGTTACTTATCCATTATCACAATGAATATGACGCGACATCAACGCAATCATTCCATAGGTGGCAATATTGTTCTAAGCTGTTTTGTGATGTAAACGATAATTTAGACCAAGGAACACATATATAGAATGGCAAAGTATGTAGACACGTGTAAAGAGAAAATAATGTGTAAAAGATTATACTTACAACAAGACCAACATCTGCCACAACTCTTAGTATTAACTGCAAACTGACCTCCTCCCCATGTTGACCAATAACCAACACCTGCAGGACTGGTATAACTTCGTAAGCTTCTATACATGCAAGGAGTTCCTCGTAGAGAGAAGTACTAGAAAATATATGAAGTTTTATCGATTAAATCTTCCATTCAAGTGTATATTAGGTTAGAGCACCATGGCCTAGTGCATAAGTCAAGCCCAGAACAGAAAAGAAGAGATCCAAATTCGAATACAGGGTAAGCCACCACGTAAATAAAAAGTCATACATTATTTAACTTTCTTGCTCATTTATCATGTACGAAAGGGAATAGATCCATCCATTGACCAACCTTTACAGAATACAGATTAAATGATCTGAAGGTGTAACAACTAACATCAGAAAGAGTATAAATTATCTTCGTTTATGCCCTCTTTTTTCTCATCATTAATTGGTTCCAGCATGATCTATCATGATAAATAAATATCAGTTTTGCACTCGTCAGACTTGTATTATTCAGAATTGTAGAAGACTTCAGAGTTCAGACTTCTAAGTCTGAAAAAAAAGACTTCAGAGTTCAGACTCCAGAGTTCGAGTGAGTTATGTCTGAAAAAGCAAACTTCAGAGTTCGGGTGAGCTAACCCTGAAAAATGACTTCAGACTTGTTCTTTTGAAATAACTCTGAAGTAAAACTTTTCAGTAAATTGAATTTAGAATAAAATGAAGTTAACCCTAGAATAAAATTGAATTTAGAAATGAAACTATATCAGTAAATTGAATTTAAACTTAGAAGTAAGACCATTTGTTTTTGGGAATCAGTTACCACATGAATTAATTAACTCAAGAATAAAATCAATTGCATCCTAAATTAGTGGGATTGACTGAATAAGAGTACACATGTCAATCAAATGGGTATAATTGAATTGTAAATGTAAATTGTATCTAGATACGTTCAAATGGGTCTAAATGAACCACGAATGTGAATTGTGTCTAGATACGTGTTTAGGCAGGAAAACAAGAAAAAGAAAACCGACTCGCCAAAAGATGACACGTGTCACCCAAGTTACTTAATTATTATAAGTATAGATATGTCAATGTTAAATGCTACAATGGGTAAGAATAACTAATGATAGATTCCACCCGAAGAAAAATGTATAGTTCATCGCATTTTGGTTTGTTTTTATCAATAATTCATTTGTACTTCAAAGTATTAGACACTTTTAAATAAATCCATCACATAATTCTTATCATGGAAGAACCAATCTTGAACTCTTACTGGTCATGCTAATTGTGGTATCCTCTTCCTTTTCACCTTTTTACCACCAGCGAATACATTACAATGTCAAATTACATTGTAGAATACATGTCTACAGTAGCAGGTAAGAAGCTTGCATAAATAAAAAAAGAACTCGTCCATTCCAAGAAAGGTGTCCTCTATTTTTATACTCCATAGAAAGTCCATTTCTAAAAGATGAACATCTAATGGCAGGATATTCAAGCATGACAATAAACTTGGACCAAATTGTTGCGATTATGCTACCGCAACTTGTCAATGTTAATAAATAACAGCTGACAATTAAATTTGTGCATTCTAAAAAGTTGATTCTGTTGCATAGTGGACCAAGTACCAGGAACAAGATAAGCAATGATATCATCACCAAAGAGAAAAATTAGATGACCAACCGGTACAGAGTAAGTCCACTATTGCAGGAGATGGTGAGAAAATATTGTTCTTTACCTTATCATTTTCATCCCTCATAACATTTGCTGTCATAGCCATCATCTTCTTCTTTTTATGCTCCGGCATTTCTATCAAACTAATCTGCCACACGCAAAGAAATGAGGTCCATTTACATACCAAGATTGAGGTCAAAGCTCTAATTTCTTAATGTCCATGTACAACTTGTAAATCCCTGTGTCCCATATTATAATCTTTTTGGTTGTCTTCCATCACAAATTAAACATGCAGTTTGGAATGCAACCTTTTAGGCAACATTCACATGTTTTTGAGAATTCTTTAAAACATTGACAAAGAATCAACTACAATTCTACACTTACATTTGATGATTTTCTTCTCATGGTCATCAGTAAGAGCTATTTATGAGTGTCGCTCAAAACATGCTCTTTTTTCATCAAATTCCGCATCTAATAGCTCATATCTTACTAAAAAAATCCATCAAACTGCATTTTTAGATGGTTGGTGAAATAATGATTTTAGATCTTTGTGACAATATTTTAATGGTAACTTACAGTTACTTAGATATCAGCATGGTAAATTTTTTATATATATTTTAGTTTTCAGGATATAGTATCATTTATCTTGAGACAGAGGGATTATATACAAATGAGGATCATCAATGAGGTAAGACAACATGATATTCCTCACGCAGGTTATGTGTGAATAAACTCATAACTGAAAGGACCATGTGGCTGAAAAATAAACTACAAGCATGGACTACTCACCCCGCCTTGACCGCCCCTAGCAACAAGAATTTCATCACCATGACGAGCTAGATCAGCTAGAAACTTGCCTCGTTTATGTTTTACAACAGTACCTGTCAATATATCAAGCAACGAGATGGTGGGTAACAAAGGGACTTCCATGATGATATCATTCTTATTTCCATGTCTGCCCTTCTAATGCGGTAAACAAAAAAAGAAGGATATGGTTTTGCCAATTATTTATGTGATTAAATTACCAAGCACCTTACAGTTGGCGGCCTATGGGTGCTTTAGTCTGCCCTTTTTTTATATTTTCATTCTTATTCAAGGTCTTCCGTTCTTTTAACTTTTTGAATAAAACAAATAAGAACATGACATGATGCACATCTGTATATGACAAAATATGTAGTCTCTTTGTAGGGGGCTCCTTAAATGTAGGGAGTGGGATAATTAAAATTAATGTAGATAGCCAATGTAGGAGTGCATTGGGGTGAGGTTTTCTCATATTTGACTCCCTACCAAGTTAAAGAGCCAATGAAGGGAGTGCACTGGAGATGCTCTAAAAAACTAAACTAAGAAATGTCAAACCTAAAGGTACTGGAATACGCAACGTTGGGGAAGCTAAGCCATTCCGCACTTGAGAAGTCAAGACACCCATCGTATCAACATTTCCCCCACGTTTTGCATTATATCGCCCCTTCTTGTGGAACTCCAATAAGGAATCTTTCCCTTCATCTGCATAAATTACAACATCCCCTCCATGTCCACCCATTGGTAGGATGAGTGATCCATCAAAGTCCCTCTTATAAGAACCTCTTATCCTTGCTTTCACTTTGTCCTCTTTGCTTTGAAATTTTGAAGGGGCCTTTGGGTTAGGCATACTAAGAGTAGCACCATGACCTCCATCTCCAGCACGAACTGTTATGATCACCTGATCAAAATACTTGTGAGGTTCTCTAATAAGACTCTCAAGGCTTGGAGAAGGGGGGTCTTTGGCCTTGGCAAGACTGCACTTGAATGTAGGGTATCGGAAATCATTGGGAACATTTCTCTGCCAATTCCAATTGTGATTGTTACTGCATGAAAACAAGGTGCATTTTAGGTTGCACACACACAGTAACACATTTTATATATTTAGCTGGATATACAATATATGGTGGATGTTAAAAATAACGCGGAAGTTTCTATTTATCTAAAATCATAGATCTAATGACTATATGGTAATACCAATAAGCATCTTCTGTGATAAAATGATGAGAAGCATTTGGTGAATTGTACTGTATTGACATTCAGAAGAAAAAAAAAACTACACATAAATAAATATCTGGGTATTTATGCTTTCACAAAATGTAAACCAACCCACTTGCTCGGTATATCTCACCCAAAGATAGGGTCTTAGAAATATGTTGTATACAAACCTGACCTCTAACCCAAATGATAAGAGTGGCCGTTTCCATGGCTTGTGAAAAGTGGGCGAAAGAGAGAACGTTAACCCAAAAAGTTTGAAAAAAGGACTTAAAGGCAAGAAAAAAAGATATGCTTTTCACAAAACGTATTCCTAATAAAAGGTTTCACCATAGGCCAGATTACAGCCCTATCAGCTCAACTCAGCACGATGAATCTCAAATTCCTCAATGGAGACCACAATCAAGAGCAATAGAATAGCTACAATGTCCAACTATCATTCACCTTAAAGTTTTAGCTTTCAAACAAAATAACAGTAATTACAAAGAAAAATCGTCAAAGTCAGTCCCGTAATCCTCCATATCTTATATAGGAACATCTCAAATAACATTGACTAACCAATATTGGCTCAATTCAATATGACTAAATTAAACCCTAAAAACATTAAACACTCCCCAATGCCCACCACATTCCAACAAAGCTAATTACACAGACACAGAATTTAAACAGCATAAGCTCAAATACCAGTAATCAAAAAATCTCAAGAACAAAAACTTGCTCCATAATTTAGCGGATGTTGCTTATTTCTTTACTGGTAGAAGACGGAAGAGAAAGAAGTGTACCTATGATTTTGAGGAAGAAGACGGTGAACGAAGGAGGTGTGCAATTGATGGGGAAAGAGGGAGGAGCCGAGAAGAAGAGACGATGATGGCGGTGGACAGACGGAGACGAGGGAGGAGGAGGATATCATATTACACCACCGGTGACTATACCTCGGGGTTGAGTCTGGGTTTATGGATAATCTGGCGCAAATATTTTGAAATATTAAAATCCTAACATTTAATTTCAAATTATTATTTTTTAATTTCAATAACCATTTTAAGCATTGATTAAAAATCATCGTCTCAATATTTATTTGATTAAGTTTCATATTTGACGCGGGGATAAAAAAAAGGTTTTTTTTTTTGTCATCGTCGACACCATCGTCCACAACTACCATCAGCCACCTCCTCCACCTTAGGTAATTATATAAGTAAATGGAAGACTGAATTACAAATTTCATTCTTCTGGATCATGTTTATTATCCTAATTCTGTTTAAGTCAGATGTATTTCAAAAGAAACTGTTAAGTTGTTTTTTATTAAGTTCTGTATGAATAAAGTTATTTGTATGAACCAGGTTAGATTGTTATTTGTTTTACACTGAATAAACAGTCTGAATAATATAAATTACCATTTTACCCTTATCTTTTAATTTTTTTTCATTAAACTCAAATACAATCCACAATTTTTTCTTCATCATATCATCAAACACATTACACCATATCATCAAATTTTAGAAATTTTAGTCATTTTTCTCGTTTCTTTAATATATTTTTTGTTGTACAAGTTTAAATGTATTTTATACAAGTGTATAACGCATTTACTAGGTTTAGACACACAAAAAAACCCACACCACCTACGACCCATCTCTGGCCACTCTTCTATTCCGGTCCGGTCATCTTTTCCTTGACAGACCTTTTTCGGCCATCACACCAAAAAACACAAACACTTAGGTCTTGTTTGTTTAAAAAAAACTCTTATCAGCCTTTTATGCATGATTCATTAAGAGGTATGGTCATTTAAATTGTTTGTCTTTTTTAATTTTTCAGAGACACTTATGTTTTATTATTCTTTTATCTAGCAAGAGATAAACCAAGTTCTTATTTGCCTCTTATTATTCTTCAAACCTTCAGCAACGACGTTTCTCAATCGATTAACCTTAATCGATCATTTCTCTCAATCGATTATAACCTCTCTTCATTGATGTATTTTAATAGGATTTAAATTTTTAAATATCCTTAATGACATTTTTTCATTTAAATGAATGCTAATTATATAATTAAGATGTAATTTTCATAATAATGATGGATAAATATGTGAAACTATGTAAATTCATCTATAAGTTCAACACTATAATTTTCTAACGAGTAAAATAAACAATTTAAACAAATTCAGACATTTATCAGTTTACAAAAACAAACGGTATTTATTGATTCATATTACAGACTTCAGCACTATCTCTTATCAATAAGAAGTGAAATAAGATTTAAGATTTTAACACTTTTTAAAAAATAATTGCCACCGGAATCAACCCAAATTCAAACCCTAATCATCAAAATAAAAAATCCAAACATAACTCAAATTTGTAGAATTTCACTTTCATATATTTTTTTTCCTGAAGAATATGTTTTAACAAAAAAAATTATACAAAATCTCTATTTCAGAAAAGGTATCCGTAAATGAGATAGTGTCACACCCCGCTAAAGCGGAAACACGAGATGTAACAGGCAAGCGAGTCATAGCAACAGTTTATAAATAACACTAATCCGAGTTGTTCAAAAACAAAACAATTCATCGACATAAATAGAAATTAGAACTTTACAAGACGTTCACAAAATACTTCAAATTCTTGACTTAATCGATCCATGCTCAAGTATGCTCCCAAAAATCCAAATAACTTTACTTAGAACCTGAAAAGCATGGWAACAAAACAAGGTCAACTACAAAGAGTTGGTGAGTTCACGAGTTTTCGTATGCATAACACGTTTCGATGCRTAAACCAAGTAATAGCAAACTTATGCGAATTCTTTGCACTTAATAAATGTAAATCTCTCACGATGTAAAACTTGAGACGCTACTGAGCCTTACCTGACCAATTTGCCCCATTAATTTTCGAACAACCAAAAGTAGCTCGTTCACTACTTAGGTCCCACAGTTCGATAGAGTACTAATTCAGCGGTGGTCCAAATTCCACATGATTAGACTAGAAAAATGTAGGTAATTGTGCACCCCTTTCTGGGTGGGACTGTCAACACAATAGCGGCTATCCACAATACCACGGCCCGGGGATGTACCCGAGTTAACAAGTAGCGTTT